ATTAAAGCAATGCCCAATTGCAGGGCCAGCAACAACTACTAGTTCTCTAGTGGTGTTTTTGGAGGGTCCAATATTGTTGGTGTTCCTTGAGAGCCCATTTTTGCTGTGTTAGGACACTCTCCTAAAATTCAACTTGAAATTATCTGCGTCCCTAAACAAAATAGAAAATTAAGTTATAAGCTAATTATGAATAAATTTATATAAGTTGAGAGACCTTTTAAAAATAACGCTTAAATTTGTTTATGTTTTGTAACAAAAATATTATACTACACATCGGAATATACAGCTTATGTAGCAGTGTTTTCTGATGCCTTCCAGCTTAAAATAGAAGTTGCAAAAGCTTGGAGTTTTTCTGTAAAAAAGATTGAACATAAAAATGAAAAAACCAACACAAACCATAAGTAAAGTAAATATAAATCCCTGACCTGAAGTGAAATTTAAATTTGTATATTTTTATACCCTGTACCCAAAGGGTACAAGGGTATATTAGTTTTGTGCGAGTGCACATGGAACACACAGAAGGAGGCTTGGTAGACCCCACAAAGTATATATATTCTTGATCAGCATGACAAGCCGAGTCGATATAGCCATGTCCGTCTGTCCGTCTGACCGTCTGTCCGTCTGTCTGTCCGTCTGTCTGTCCGTCTGTCTGTCCGTCTGTCTGTCTGTATGAACGCAAGGATCTCCGAAAGTATAAGAGCTAGAATAACCAAACTTGGTACACAGATTCTCCTGAGACCGAGAAAGGACGAGTTTGTTCATTTTTTCTGATCCAACCCCCCACTCCCCCCCTATTACCAATTTTCTATAACTCCCGTAATTCTTGGAATTTTGAACTTAAATTTGGTAGTCACATTAGGTTAGTAATTATATATCCGTATACCAAGTTTCATTATGATAGAATGATCAAAAAGAAAGTTATAGCCATATAACCAGGCCCAATGCACACATACATACATATGTACAAGTACACAAACACGCATAAGGCACGATACTGATGTAAATGTAAATGTATGTATGCATGCATGGAATATTTTATATTTAATTAGTTAATATTTAGTTAATTCATTAAATTAATTTAGTTAATTAATTAAATTAAATTAATTAATTAATTAAATTACTTTTTTGTGGGGTGGTACAGGGTATTTAAGAGTTGAGCCTGCTCGACTTTAGCATTCCTTTCTTGTTATGGTTCCAAAGATGCAATAACGATATACAAATATAAAGTTTCGTCTTTCTTTTTTTTCAGCACGAGTTAAAAAGTTTGCTTCTTCCTTACATTGTTTGGTTCAGTTATGGCAACGTATATTTAACTGCGACCCACAATATATGCCTGAAGAAAGAGAGTTCTTCCTATCCGATTGCTAACATTTTTTTCTAATTCAATATACCAATATTAGTCGAATTACCTGCTCATAGAGTTACTCATAAATTAAAAAGCATTTACTGTCATATAATATTTGCTGCAAAGATAATAAAACACAGAATCGATTTACACCTTTGATTAATTTATAATAAAGAGGAGTTGTAAATTTTTGTTCAATTTCACAATTTCAATGTCACTACTTATCACAAAATTTTGCAAATATTTCATTAATTTATATTAAAGAGAAGTTGTAAATTTTTGTTCAATTTTCACAAAAATGCACGAGTCTTTTGTTTTCCCAACTTATTTGCACTTCAAGGCTTGTGGATGCGTTTATAGGGCCTATCAGATCACACCAACTGTCAAAAGTTTCGACAATTTCCATCTCACCTCTGGCAAGCGATAATTTGGATGCTAATGTGTATTTAATTGATGAGCCAAAGCTTCTCGCACGTCACCATATTGACGACTTAAGTTGTTCTGCCCACTCCCTGATGCTAATGTCAGCCTCAGTTTCAGACTCAGTTTCAGTTTCAGTTTCTGTTCCAGTGCCAGTGCCAGTCGCGGCTTTAATTTTGGCAACAACAACCAGCAATCTCTGCGAACTAAGCTGCAATTTGTGGCATTCTTGATTTATGCGCGTGAGCCAAGCAAATGGCCTTCTAAAGTGGCAATCAATTGTGGGGCTGCACGTGTCTAGTCTAGTCTGGTCTGGTCTGGTCTGGTCCAATGTGTTGAAATGAGACTGCGGCGACTTCATCGCTCGTTACCTCAACGGCATTTGACCCCCAGCGTTGTAGTAGCCAACACGTTTCCTTTTCAGCCGCCATCCACTTATTTCTTTGGCTATCAAAAAAAGCAGACACGGCGGCTTTACAACAATATGTTTTCTATACGTCACATATTTCTTCGTTCCTGCGCACATCACTTGACCTTAAGCGTTTTTGTAATTTATTTGTCGTTGGCGTAATTTCCCACACACTCTAGACACCAATTTTCTGGCTGCCTTTTTTTTTTCTGCTAGAAGTTGTTAACTGTATTACGACGATTTAGTCTGCTGTTGTGACCAGGCAGTTATTTCTTCGTATAATCTTTGACGTTTCTTTGTAGGTTATTGTGCTACCAGCACCGTCTCTGGGATTATGTAACAGTACGAGGCAATGCTTTTGGGCCTTTTGGTCTTATCAGCTGCAACAACTGCACATAAACTATTTGCTGAGCGGATGATATAACAATGCATAGCCAATTTAAGTTATTTAACTTGATTCATAGCTGTGTCGTTAATATGAATGTACAGTAGCCCTTTGGTCGCAGCAGAGCGCAGATAATTGATGTGAAACTGCAAAATATTTTGAAGACTTGGAAGATCTTTGATAGCAGATCTTTAGAAGGAGAAATGCATAAGCTTTTTAAATTGATTTATTCCAGGATAGTATAAATATTTCTACTCCCCATCGCTTAATAATTCTAGTTCCAGACAGACTAAGAGCAATGCAGTTCTCTTGGGTTATCAGCCTGTCATTTCATCTGTTGCTATATTAATTGTTCTGTACATCAATTATTAAGGTGTTAAGGCTTATTTCATCATATTATAGATCTTAGGGTTTCATGCTGCAAGTCTTGGGTTTTCATAACAATAGTTAACATTAAGGTGTTCGAATTATAAAGTTTTCGCAATCCATTTTTCAGGAAAGCAACAAAAACAAACAAAATATAATAATAATTATTCCTTAAGTACAAATTTAAACAGAAATAGTCATTTTTTATAAAATCGATTATTTTAGTCGCGAATATATTTTATGCAACATTTAAGTTTGTATATTTGAAAAGAGAAAAAGGAAAAAAAATTCAAATATTAGTATTTTACAAATTTTAAAAATAGTTTAACTGCAATCATATTTTAAAATTTTTTTCGTTTTATAACTACATATAACTAATTTAACATTTTAGCGCATTCTTTTTTAAAGTTTATTTATTACATTTTTTGGAATGATAAGATAATAAACTATATTCTTCAAAGCTTCAACAAAAATCATTATTTTTATATAAATATTTACTAAATAATTTAAAATGAATACCCAATATTTCTACCTCCCACAAATATCAAATAACTTCCTCAGTTTTAATCTACTTTTAAGTCTATTGAGCTTACACCACTCATTTATAACATTATTCTTTTTTTTTAGTTTAGCTGCCACATTAAAGACAAATCTCTCTCTAAACAACTATTTGCAACTTTCCTTTAATTTAGTCAGGGAAGTAAAAATGTAAAGTCTTAATAACGTTAAGGGCATACCCTGCTAACTGTGCTCAACATACTTGCCCCCCTAACTATATGTTTAGCCCAAGACGACGAGCATATCATGTATAACACTTCCTGACTAATGAAGCGCACGCCATGCAGTGACGTCTTCATTAACAGCCAACAATATGTAAGCTCCCATTTCGGTAAGCATGGCTCCGAAATAGGAAAAGAAATGGCTAAAGATGTGTTGACGTCTCAGCTGCAACAACAACAACAACAACACTTCCAACAGCAACGACAGTGCCTCGAGGTGCAAATGTAAAATAAAAAAGAAATGTTTTCACGCTTTCAACCGTGCAGTTAGCTGCCTCACATTTCTCGAGCCGCCCATTTAAGTGTCCAATAATTCAATCACATCAAACGTCATGTTGATGGGCTCTAAAATACCTTTAAAGAGTTTCAATTACAGCAATTGAGTGGCGTGGTCAAAGTTGAGAAAGTGCCAGTTAAATGCATGGAAACTACTGTCATGAGAAAAAATTCGATTGGCAGAGAAAAATACAACAGACATTTGCACAATTTCATTTTATAAAAATTAAATTTAAGCAAATAAGGTAAAAGGAAAGTAGCAATTGAAAAAAATACCTTGTAAGAATAATATTTGCAAATAATTATAAAACAATATTAATAAAAAATAATTGTATTGTAATAAAACAACACTGTGATGAAACAAATTTAATTTCTTTTCGCTGTCTAATATTATTATAAAATATAATTTAGTATTTAATTTTTTAGGTTTTTTAATATTTAAATACGCATAACACGGCGATTCATCTTTTAATATTACTGAACAAATTTTAAAGATTTGGTAAATAATTAAAGGAAGTGTATATATCTTTTTATTATAAAATCTTTATATTACAAAACTCTCCAACGAGAAAACACCTTTTATATTTTCAACAAGGTTCTTATTTACAAAGTCGCAGTAATTCCCGATTAGATTTATAGAATAAAGAAAGAGCGCTTTATAATACAAAACACATCGGAACACATTGTCGTTTCATTAATTTTGCAAGCGTTAGCTAACAAAATGGATACCAAATGATTGTACATAAGCATATATTATAAAACATATTATTATTAAATTTATCTTCAAATTGTATTTTAAATGGAGGTATAGTATTTTGTGATTATATAAAAAATAATTAAAGATACTTAAATCTTTATTAAATAAACATAGACAATTGTTTAATTTCTTTAAGTACAGTTCACATCAAATTACTTTTAAAATAAAAAACATAAGCCCCTCGGAGTAGGCATTTCCATTAGCCTCAATGTTGTAAGTCTGAAACCTTTTCTACTTCATTCTATTTGTTCAGCTCATTGAACAAACATCGTTTCGGCAGAAAAAGAAACAAAATTTTATTTTTTGTATAAAAAAGTGTTCCTTTGGCTTAAAGTTTGAATGAAATTTAGTTAGCTAATGATAAATGGAAAATTCAAAATTACAAAATTCTAATGGAGGGGCTGCTCGACGGGACGATTCGAGCAGCTATTGTAGGGCATTGCTACAGGACATGATATGCTTCGTCCTCCTCTTCACAATGGCCATGCTGGTACTGTGGGCGTTCTTCTATGTGATGGATGACATGATGAAGGTTCAAAGTCAGCCGCCAAAGCGACTTGGAATACCTTTGAACGACACCAGTCCTATGGTTGTGGGATCTGAGTCGCCCCGACGCTGCCATTGGCCCAACCAATGGTGTCGGTTACTCTTCAATTGTCCGAAACGTCATGCACATATATCGCCCGATCCCATGCCGAGAGCAGTGCCACTGGCGCCTGATGCTGAGCCCATTGCACCAGCTGTAAAGCCACTGACGGAATATCTGGGTAACAGTTTTCACTGGCTTTAGTTTGGAACAATCTTCTATTGCAGACTACCTCCACAGGCATATCTAGCTGAGCTGCCAGAAAAAACTGTAAATGTAAAATGTGTCCCGTAAAAGTGATTATTGTGGAAATGCTCGTCTTGTTAAGTTTTAATTGTATAGTGAATAATGAATGTTATATGTATGTGAAAACCGCCACTAGTTGCAAACCGCCTTGTTCGTCGTCGAAGTAATGATGATGAAGCTAAGAAGATATGAAGCATAAACAAGAGGCATACACCCACCTTAAAGAAGGGTTATCGAGTATGGGAACTACAAACAACCAGACATGAAAACACGAACGGATTTTAACACACGGATTGACCAATAATCAAAATCAAAATCGGTTAAATCAAAAGTTGGCATTAATGCTAACACCGATGGTATGATTCAGTACTGAGAGAGCAATCATTGTCTCTCAGTGTGTGGATCTATAAAACGAATACATATGTGAGTCCATAGACAAATGTTGGCATAATTGAATCGATGTATTCAGCACCTTTAGAGCGACAAAACGAAAAATATGTTGTTTCACACAACTATAAAATATAAATACAGCTAAATAATAACACCAAACTGCGGCAAATGTTTTTTTTTTAAAGGGGATTAGGAAGAGGTCGTAATTTAAGCAAAACTTTTCAGAAAATATGAAGCTAAATAAAAAACCAACAATTTCATTGAGAAAACAAACAAGCTATAAATAATAATTGATTTTAAAGTCTAGGCAAACTGAAAAAGTGGGCACTCTATCTTTTAAATAATTTGGCTTATCAACATTATGGGAACTCTGCGCTTAAGATTTTTAATTGGAATACATGTCCTAAATAATCTAAAAAATTATTTTCTGCAAAATACCTTATTAAAATTAACTTAGTAGCTAATTAAGATAAATTTCTGCACAAATTGGTTTAAGATAGCTGCATTCATTTATTTGTTCACAATAAATGTAGACATTTCTTGATAATAACTTCACTAAAGCGTGCAAGATTTTAGTAATAAGATTATGTTCTGTCTGCTCTCCTATCGTTCGCCGATCTGTCTGCTTTAGAAACAGAAACAGTTTTTGTATAAAAGAAAATGAATCCAAATATAGATATAACATGGAACTAAATTGTACATTGATAATATGGAGAATGCATTTTTAATTCTTATTTAAATCTAATATTGTTCTTAAAAGCTTAATCCTGTAACAAATTACAATTATACTATACAATATTTAAATTTGTTTCCTTTTTCAAGATTATCCGATTCGCGTTTGAATAATTCACATATAATTGAAATATTTATGTCTGTTTGCAAATGAAAGTATAGCCATAGAAGTAATACCTGAGCTAAGCTTTTTGTATTAAGTAGCTGTAATAGAGAAAAACTAGATCTAAACTAAATGTAAGAGAAAAAGAGAGTACGTCTATCTTCAACCAGTGTAGTTATAAATTGTATTTAAAGGCAAATCATGATAAGTTCGCACACTTCTGCCAGATTTCATTTTGATAGTCACCCAAAAAAAAAAAGCAAAAAAAATGTTACATTTTGCAATAAAATTCCACAATCTTTGTCATCTGTGAAACCTTTTAATTATATGTTCCCCTTTAGTTAGAAAACTGTCTTAACTGATTCACGACTTTTCAATGTTGAATTGCACAATCCCTACAACAACTGATGGGCCCAAAACTAAATTCTAACAACGACTGCAACGGCAATTTAAATCACACGTTATAAATTGCCATTCAAGTGTTGGAATGATAAGTATCTCAGAGATGCCACGACAACAACAGTAGCTGCGCATGCGCATAATGGCTAAATTGAGGTATTGAAAACATGGCAACTACCGCGTGTACTGTTTGCGAATATGTTACTGCCGCTTCAATCCAAATGAAATGAAGTGCATACTATAGTATAATGCTGACTGGCATTATCACGGCTTACAGTTATGTAGCTACAACAGCAATTACGTCGAAGTTGCAGTTGAAGGGTAACTTTTGGTTGCCACACGAAATAGTCGCCTGGGCAAAATCGTGGGCGTTGCAACAATCGACAACAACCGCAGCAGCAACATGGAGGTCTAAGGTCTTGTCGTTGTGGCGGCTGTTGTTTCAATTTGATGATAACTGCTGCTGTATAATTATTTTATTTAAGTAAACATGCAGCAGAGATAAAAAGCCCAGCCAGCCACGAACAGATTTGCATAGAGTAGTAGAATTCACAATGAGTGCCAACACACACACAAACACACACACACACACACAATTGCATAATTAGCCGAAACAACAACAGCAGCAATAGTTTTCTTGGCATTTGCTTAGCCATTGGCATGTGGGCGTTGCTTTTTTTAAAATTTTTTTTTTTTTTTGTGTTTTGTTTTGTTTTGCTTATTCTTATTGAAATTAATGAAAATAATTAGTTGCGCTTAAATTTATGTAAAGCCAACATCGCTCTCACAGCTCTTATGAAATCTATATTTATGGCCAGATACGAGTATTTCCCAAAAACAAAAAAACACAACAACATTTTCGACAACTTAGAACAAAAGCCGCAAGGCAGACAGTCAGTCAGTCGTCCAGCTGCTTTTTCTTATTACTATTTTTATTTTAATTTGCGCCTTAATGGCGACGCAACACGCGGAACGTGCAACAACAACGACAGCGACAGTGAAGCAGCCGCATTGGCAAATAGTTCTTATCTTTGATTTCTGAATATTTATGAGCCTCACTTAATTAGGCAGATGCAGCAACAAAATGAAATTATTACTTTATGCATGGCAAAAAGACAACAACAACAAAATGTGGCTCAGATGCTGTTTTTTGTTGCAAGTTCGTTGCCTAAGTCTTTCGTTTTGTTCAGTCTTAGCTCTTAACTTGCTGGGAAAGTTTTTTTTGCCAAAATTGCTAAAAACTTGTTCTACAGTTAGAACAACACGCAACAAAAGCAAGTTTTTTTTTTGTGTAGCTTGCGTGCGTTTATTTGTTTGATATTTTCATTTACGTCCATAAATTGCATAATCTTGAATGGCTCGCTTGTTTTAATTTGCTTTTTCAGTCGGCTGCTAGACTGCCCGCTCTGGCCAGTGACACAGATTTATTTATAGCGATTATATTTCACAAGTCAGTAAGGAAAGAAGGTGTGGCTTTAAGATGGGCCATGGGTGATGGGTTACCCAACTTATCTCTCAATGAGTTATAATTAATTAGAAATACAATAGAGAACCGTTCTTAACTTACTTCAAAATGAACCAATCTGGTCTTTCAATGAGTTATAATCAATAATAAAGAGAGAGAGAGAGAGAGAGAGAGAGAGAGAGAGTCGTTGAAAGCTTATTTCAAAATACATACAAATAAATGGAAAAAAAATTAGTTGAGCTAAAAATGTATAATGATTCGATCAAAAATTATGTGTTATTTAGTAAATACATGACAACTACTTAGCATGACAATTAAAGAGGACAAAAAAAATTAATAAATTAAAGCTTTGTTTAATTAATTACGAATATGTACAGGCGATATTATAAATCAACTATCAGCAATTTTAAATCGCATTACTCTAAATCATTCATTTACTTATTGCAGAGAAAAGTGTTACAAACAATGAAAAAATGCATTATATTTTTGCAGAATATTTTTGCCGAGATATTTAATTTATTATACGAGTATTCCATATACGATGTTATATTTAGGTATTTAATTATACATATAACAATTAAAATATTTATAATAATAAATATAATATTGATAAAACTTAATATCGCAAAAAATTTTTTTAAAATATAAATCCTGCGAAAATAAAAAAAAATTTCACCTAAGTGCAGAAGAAAAATGGCATGGATTTCTTCTGTCAAGCTTGTCTCACTCTTTTTTTAAAGCCACAACTCTTTCAAATGTTTCATACCAAATTGTGTGACCATGAATTTACAAATTTGTTTACCGACTGCTATTAAATAAATTCATAAATGCTCGAATATTACAAGCAACGAATAAATAGCTCATCGAAATATTACTTTTTAGAATAATTATACAATTTATAAGGAAAAAACTATTTGCATAAAAATGGCTTCCGAATAGCATTTACATGCACTACTTGTCCAAGTTCGATCCAAAGTTTTGTTCCAACTGTATGCCAAGTGAATTACACTGTTTAAATACTTTCTACGTTTTGCTTAATTGTCACAAGTAACTTGTTGTGTTTCAGTTTGCTTTTACAGTCGCAAATATAATACCTTTTTTTAAGTATGGAACTGTCCTGCGGCGACTATAATCATTTATTCAAGTCAGCAGCGTTATAAGACCTAACAGATGTAAATTTAAATAACTGAAGTAATATAAATTAAAATGTACTTGTAAATAAAAAATAAAAAAAGTTAAAATTGGTAAATTATTGGTCAATTTGGGATATTTATATCTTAACATTTTCGACATCAGTAAATACTCATATAACAATTTATTGCTGTCCACTTAAATGAGTGGCTATTTAACAATTTATCTCCCTAACACAGCTCACAAAATACTTAATTATCATACAATAGCCACATCTACTATATATGTACGTAATTGGATAACAAAACTGGGAATTGGAAAGTGTTGCGCCATAATTAGAAACATGTAAGCTCAAATTGAGAACTGAACACATACACGTACTCGTATGTAAATTGGGGAGCGTGTGTCGTCGGGACGTCTGGACCTCCGGACAGTGGAAACGTGCAGCACATGCTGTGCACGAGAAACTGAAACAAATTAGAAAATTGCGCACTGCCGCTGAGGCTGAGACTAAGGCTGAGTCTGGCCGGCTAGCCATTCACGCATCAATGACGAATTGATGGAGATGAGAGGAATGGCACTGCAGATCTCAATTTGATGTCTTGTCTGTTTTTGTCTTTCTCTTTTATTTGGCAATTAAATAAAACATGCCGCATTTACCTTTGCAATACTCGTACTTCTGTGTACCTCCGGGATTATATAAGCAAAATCATACTCGTATGTAAATTATGCCAACGAATGAAGACGAAATATTGCATAGCATATGGACAAGGAACACACCTTAGGAAACGACATGCGAAAGGGAGCCTCACTGTGGCTAGCTACTGTGCAGCGATCATGTAAATGTGCGGCCCACAAATCAACAACAGCAACAACGACAACAGTGGGGACCAAGGCCCAAACAAATGCAACAACGCTGGGCTGCACAATTGAAGCGCAGAGCCATTGACAAGATAATTTCCTAGGTGCCGCATGCGGGCAGCAAATCCATTTTTTTCTCGTTTTACTTTTGCTTTTACAAATTGTACGGGCAGGAAAAATGCTGGCCACGACTGTTGCCAAAAACAAAAATCAACTCCAAGAAGTTGAAGAAAAAATTGGCTAGTTTCGCAGCGCGCGTTAAGTTGACTGACTACCAATTGTTGGCACGAAGCTTCACGAAACGCTCCACGAATAATTTCAAACACAAAATGCCGCCAACGCTCAAGAAGCTTCATAATTATTAAGCCACAATCCGTTTGCCTACTACTGTCGCTGTCGCTGTTGCTACAGCTTCTGATAATGTTGCAACCGTTTGCAGTAGGAAATGCTTCAAAAAAAAAATATGGCTATCCCATAAAAACCAAACTACAGGAACTGCCACAAAAACTACCGTCTGGGCTAAGAGTGCAAGCTAATGGGTTAAATAGGTCTTTACTGATCCACTGCCTCTTTTTCCATCGTGAAGTTGTACGGGCTATAAATTAAGCAGTTTCAAAACCAATTCAACAGGAACCTGTGGGTCAGTTATTGCATTAAAATGCATGTAAATTGTTTGCCGTCTGACTACACTTTCTAATTGTTAAAGTTTAAGTGGGTCGCTGTGTCTCGCTCGCATGGGCAGACCTGTAAAAATTAAGTGTAATTTTAATGTCGAAAGGTGTTAACAATATATTCACACAATTCAAAATATGAACGCTCATCTCCATACAGTGAACACTCCATTGCACATTCCAAACAAATAAATAATAGTTCATATTTAAGACCAATTGTATTTTGCGAGAGTCTCACCTTTTATGCCTTGCATCTTGTAAGAGGTACATATACTTGTATGAGTTTACTGTGAATGTATAAAGCATATAACGCCCACCCACTATATATAATTCAGATCAGTAAGAAAAAATGTAGATTAGTATTTTTTTATGAAAATAGGTACAGGCTCTTCAGCATTCCGCTCTTGTTTTATATAGCTGCGATAGGAACAATACAATACTATAATATCTTTTTGTTTATAAAGCCATCGTATGAAAAATTTGTTATATAACACGGCATTGTAATCTAAAGTATCATTGAAATCAGAACAATAGCCAGAATTGGTGCAACAAATTTAATTATAGATGAATGTGAGAAGAGCGGCGGGTGCAGAGTACACAGAAGTTCGAATGGCGTGATATATTATTAAAATCACAGTATTTTGACCCTTGAAGTAGGCGGTTTAATAAAGTGGCACCAATTTCGTATTTAGTCGTCAATGATGATGCAATATCGTCAGGAATTGCAACAACCTTCTTAATGGGTCTTTAATATTGTGTAAACAAAACAGTTTTACTCGTAAATACTCTTTTTAAAGTAAACTGGAAGCAAAAATTCATTTCAGCTGGAAAATATCTTTTTGACTATTCCGATACATTAAAAAAACATATTAATGAAATTACATTAACCATTGTTTATGAAGTTGCAAGATTCTACACCAAAATCTTTTTAGCAAAACACCAAACTAAGCATGTTTACAAATACATGCTGCGAGTCGTTTAATGTAGTTAAGCGCCTTTATATAAACATATTTTTCCAAGGCAAAGCTAACTGCATTTGTTATACAATTTTGTATGCCTTCGTTGCTTATAAAAGACGGTGTACGTTGTAGGTTCTTCAGTTGCTCTAAAATGGCGAACCACCGTACTTTTCTTCACGTTCGGTTAATAATTCTATTGAGTTTCTTAGCAGGATTTCACGCCGACCAGTTCGCCAGTAGATTTATGCAGAAAGCTGTGCAGTTCTCTAAGAATGATAACGTGATTGTATCTCCATTTTCTGCTCGAGAAGCCTTGGCTCAGGTCTATGTCGGAGTGAGAGACCACGCCGCTGATGAACTACATCGTGTGCTACAATTGACTGGATATTCAAAGGGTGAGGCAGTCGAAGAATTTCGCAAATTTCACGAAATATCGTCACCCGGCGGTGGAGCCACTTTAAAAATAGCGAATCGTATATTTGTGGCAAAGAGGTTTCCCTTGTTGGTAAACTATAAAGATCTTGTGAGGTTATCATTTCGAACAAGAATCGAAAATATTAATTTTGAGGACAAGGAGCTGGCCGCATCACGAATCAATAAATGGGTATCAAAACGAACCGAAAAGCTTATCGAGAATATCGTTAGCCCTGACAATTTGCACAATGACTTAAAAATATTGGTAATTAATGCCATTTATTTTCATGGGAAATGGAAAACACCGTTTAATCCTAAGCTCACAGATAAAAGACAATTCTTCATACCGGGAGAAGGTCTTGTTAAAGTGGATATGATGCATAGCTTTATAAATGCGCTCCATGGACGAATAAATGTTTTGGATGCTCATGCTGTAGAGCTTCCCTATATAAACTCTAATATTTCCATGCTGGTAATACTACCCAATAAACTCAATGGCCTACCGAAAGTGGAGAAGCTTCTGGATGAAGTTAACTTATTAACGGTTACATCTGGTTTTCTGAAAGAGAAAGTAGAGCTAGCTTTGCCAAAATTCAAATTTGAATTTACACTAAATTTAAATAATCCGTTGAAAGAGATGGGAATCCAAACAATATTCTATAATCCTGATTTTAGTGATTTGACAAGTTCTCCGCAAAATTTATTTGTTTCTGAAGTGATTCAAAAAGCGGTAATTGAAGTGGATGAAGAGGGATCTAAAGCAGCGGCAGTGACTGGTAAAAGTTATATTTATATGTCATCGAAAAATATATAAATTTGATTCTATTTTAGAAATTGGAGCTGGGACGCTGTCGATGCCGTCGTTTTTTATTGTTGATCATCCATTCCTTTTCGCAATAAAAGATCAACAAAGAATTTACTTTGTGGGTCGTGTCGGAAGATTGAGTTAATATAAAATGTTTCGCTCTATGACCCATCTAGAAGCGATTACTATTCGCTAGTAGATATACGCACTTTATACTTAACAAAAAAAAGTTTATGGTGTTATCTATGGAAGCAAAATTAATTAAAAAGGTCTACAATTTATTTTGTCAAAATGAAATAATTGGTGGAACAACTTTTGATAAACCTTAAAATGTTGCTTAAAGGAGACAAGCTTCTACAAGTATGTTAATTAAGATGGGCACAATCTAATGATGTAAGGAAAAATTAGTTTGTCCAAAGGGTGAAATAGTATACAAGAAAGTCAAATCTCCAAATGCACGTGACAGACGAAAGAGATGAAGGTAACTAGTATATATGTATGATTGCATGACGAGACGAATCGATATATTTAGACACGCTCTGTTCGTCAAACGAGAACTTTTAAACCCCAACAGCTAGGTAAGTATAACAGGATAAAAAGTATATTAGTGTTGTGTGAATGTATGTAACGCAGAGAAGGAGGTATGGCAAGCCCACAAAGCTTATATATATGTTGATTTATATACCAAAAAACCTCAAGAATCTAAGTCCGAGAATGAACGTTTTAAATGGAATTCGTTTATAAATATTCAAATTCGGCTAGTTCTTATGTGTCCTCATGTTAAGTTTCATTGTGTTAGATCAAAAGCTATAGCCATAAATGCTCTGCAAGCAGCTATTGTTGTTTTTACTGCCAAAAAAATTAATTTACAAGTATATCCAAGTTTTAAAATACTTGTAGTTTTGATACCTTTTGTGAAGGAAGAAGCTGACACTTTTGTTATTTACTTACAGAAATACATAAGTTGTTCTTAAAATCATTCTTATAACTTAGTTTTAAATTTTACCTAGAATTGAACACAGATTATTAAATCCATTCAGTTCCTGCAAGTCTTCATTTTTTTTCAATTTAACTTAAGCAGTATCTACTGTACATTTAATTAATTTCATTTTGAATGTTTGCTGGCAGCACTTCATTAGCTTGCTGTTTAATTGGACCTATAACACACCCCACCCGAACGAAAGTTAAAAAAAAAAGATTGTATGGCACGCCCAACACTCAATTGCATTTTTAAGCTCGAACATGAAATTTGTGTCTCCACAGTACTTCTGCTTTTGTAGGAAGAGATAATTTGGCATCTTGTTTATGCTACAACTATCAATGAACTTATTAACCATTTCCGGGCCACTTCAATGCTGATTTTAAGTTCCACTCACAACCTGTCCACCAAAAAGGTCGCTCGTGGGTTGGCATTGTTGTCATTAAAATGTAACAGCTTTATTTGCCTAAATAAACACACAAAAGTGTTGTGTGAAAGAAAGCCCAACTAGCACTTTACGTGGCATATGTGGTGTTGTAATATAAAAGAGCCGCGGTGGCAGGAGGCAGAGCAGGGGGCGAGCTCATCAGCACATCTGCGCACGCTTCAACTTCAATCCCATCCACATGAGTGCACTTGCCTGCCTACGGCTTGACGGCATCCCATTCATTCGTGTATCTATAGCCTTATATCTGCGTACACGATATCATGCCGCCCGCCACTTGCCAGGGAACACGCCAAGCTAATAGCACGGCACACAACACAGATACAACCCACCAGAGACAGCAGAAACCAGACACCAGACAGAGCCCGAATCCGAGCCCAAATGAGCTTATGTAACGACTCTGGAGGTAACGTGTAACTCTCCACACAGCCAGAGTTAGAGCCAGTCTATGTTTATTCATCGTCATCATCATTGCACGCCCTTTACCGATATCGTGGTTATTGTTTGCGATTTTTTCCTCATTTGGGCGTCGAAGATTAGTCACAGAAAGTGTTAGGAATTAGCAGTTGATATTTGCGGTCGCAACAAATGGGTTGCCCTTAAAATTTAATAGTGTGGTCGGCCAACGAAAGTCCAAATGCTCGAAATATTTTGTAGCAACAACTATTTCCGAGTATCAAATATTAAAGACTTTGATTTGATTTGTTGTGTAAGCAACCAAAACCAAATCCATGGTGCAATTATAGATTTGGGTTATAGCGATTCAGTCGGCGAACGACTTGAACTTTTTTGCCAGAGTATTAAGTCATTTTTCCAATGATAGCTTCTAACAAACGAATTACAATGACAAGTTAGTCAGTTGGTAAACAATTATCGAAACTCCACAAAAGCATTGATTAACGTATTAAAATTAAATAAAAGCATTAATGTTGCGATGCATTGCGGCAAAGAAATAATGAAATGTATTTTCTGACTGCAGACTTCCTTAACGAAAATGAAAACCAATTATAGTATTGCAACAACTTTCTGTGCACATTTTGAGAAGATTACTTCGAATTGGAAATTAAAGCTTCACTATTTTCTATAGAAGATGGTAGTTTTATTCATTTTATTTCCTTGGTATTCATGTTCTTTTCTTTACTTCCTCTATCTGCTAATCCGAAATCCCTATTTTAGATATGTCCACTGCAGCTATTGCTTGGGAATACACACAATTCTGTTTTTACTCGGTCTTTTTTTACACGGTTTTTATTTAACACGGTTTGAAAATTAAAAATTTTATATGATATTTAGTCGTGTAACCGAGTTTAGTCCATTTAGCACGATTTAAATTAACAAAAAATAAATAAATAAAGTCACACATAGCTGACAAACAGCAAGAAACCATTCTTATGTGGGTGATTTAATAAAATAATCATAAATCCTTGTTTTTTCACTGATTTTAATAGGTTTTTAAGATATGATGCATATGATCAATGTCTTTTTTACACGGTTTTTTTCATGGTTCTGTCTGAAACCAATCTACTGTGTAAAAACAGATTTAGGGTATATATAGGGTATCTTTACATATATTCAAAGACAAATTTAAACATATATTTTTCATTTCAATAAAGTTTTTTTTGGTTTTGTCTGAAACCAATCTACCGTGTGAAAACAGAATTAGGGTATATATAGGGTATCTTCACATATATTCAAAGACAAATAAACATATATTTTTCATTTCAATAAAGTTTTTTTTGGTTTTGTCTGAAACCAATCTACCGTGTAAAAACAGAGTTACGGTATATATAAGGTATCTTCACATATATTCAAAGACAAATTTAAACATATATTTTTCATTTCAATAAAGTGCCTGCACTTTCACAAAAAAAAAAGAAACAAGCAAATAAATGAGACCCCAAAAAACAAAGCTTCTGCCCAATTATGTGATGTAGCAACAGAATCATAAAACCAACTGCAGGGCGTCAGCCGAGAGAAGCTGCCAACGAAAAGCCAAAGTTGAAAATGAAATCTACAGCAATGTTTGCCGCATTTGGATCAATTAGGTGCAGCCAGCCAACTGCTGACTACGAGGTTCGTCGTCCGTGGGCCTGCAGACTGGAGTCGGTAGCCAGTATAGCTTCAACGCTTCCATTGTTTGGCTGGCAATTGTCCAATGCACAGCGCACGATTTATTAATTTTAGTTTGCTATTTATTATGGTTGTAGCATTGCATTTCTCTAAACTATGACAGGCAGCTGCAATTGGTCCATGAAAGAACTCAACTAGCTGGCAATCAAATGCAATTACCAACAAAACAGTTGCATTCATTTGGCAGTGCCTCATTTTTCATTTTTATATTTATTTTTTTGTAATTGTTTAAAAAGCTACAAAACGAGGACTAACAAAGGAATATTAAGATGCAGGTCTCAGTCCAAACTCATCTTTATGAAGGGCGTACTATTTTTAAATACACTTACTTTATATTGAGTATAACAATTAGTAGTTTATTTTGTCTTTTCTCAATTCTGTGGCTATTAATATTGCTAAAGTTACCAAATGAATGGTCCTTTCTTCATATACTTGTAGTTATCCAAATATTATTCTATCGACACATTCTCAATTCAAATAAGGGAATTCATTAACCGCTAATTAACATCTAATATTTAAATTTAACCACAAAAAACAATGATTAATAGGCCCTAAACAAATTAAAGAACATTTTTTTAATTTGAATTGAACTCAGCATTGCAGACTATATTTACTGATCATTAATATTGAAATTATTATATTCAAATTATTTAATCTTCATATGCTAATTAAGACGTTTTATATATTTTTTTTCGCAGTACAATAATCAGTGGCACCCATTTAAAATGTTTTCAATTATTTTAGATGGCAAATTGAAATTAAATATTCAACCATGATGATTTGAAAATTTAAGTAAAATAATACTAAACCCAACTAAAAGCGGTGTTAATATTTATTGTTGGCGTGTGTAGAAGCTGCTATTATTATAGAGTTTTTGAATAATTGGCATTTAATTGTTATTTTTTTGGAATTACATTTTTAAAAGTTCTTCATATATTTTGATATATTTTTCTATAATTTTAAACACACAATTTTGACTATGTTTTATGCAATAGTAAGAGTAACCAAAAGCTGAAAATTCCTCAACAGCCAGCGTTTGTTTACTCTTACTGCTGGCACACTGGCGCACTCAGAATTTAGTCAATGGAACCACAACATTAAAAATATAAATAATAATAATAAACCATATAATTAAATTATTCCTCCTTTTTGGAAAGCTCCTCGACAAGCTTGGCGCTCTGCGCCTTAATTTGCTTGCGATTTGGCACATTGGCCATTGTCTTATTCTCCTGCAGGAGGTCCTCTTCGGGCACTGCCTGTTGCTGCTCCTCAGTGTCCATGGGCTCTCCCATTTCCAAACTGGCAAGAAAATCGGCATGATATTCCTCCACATTTCGCAAAATGGTGGCCTTCTTCAACTCCACCTTATAGCCCTTCATCAGCTTATAGAGCTTGCGCTTCACCATATGCATAATGTTGTCAACTGATTAGTAGAGTTATCTTTATGAGGTCTTAAGAATATAATAGGTAATATGCCCTGAAATACTCAACTATTTTCCTCGAATATTTCGGGCGCAACGGCACGCATATTCAGCATTTCAAACTTAAGCAGAGGGAGTTTTAGGTACGAATTGGGATATTGTGAGCGAATCATTTTTGGTTGACGATCTACATGTCGCAGAATTTCCACCAGATTCCAAATGCTCACGCTGTGGAGGATGGATTAGCAATAACCCGAAAGTAAGTTTATGGTTTTTTTTACCGAAGCAGCACATAGGCATCGGCACGATTCTTCAGATGCTTCAATGTCTCAGCCTCAAACTCTTCGTCCTTTTTCAGCATTTTTCTCAAATCTTTGATGCGTTCCAGTCGACTGTTTATGTAGACATGTGTAAGTTCCCCGTTCTCTAATATTATATTTTGCTACCTACTTGATTTCCTCCTCGGATAAATTATTTACCAGCACCCCCTTTAGCACACTGGCGCATTTCATCTTAGTCTCGAGCATTTCATGGGCCAGCATATCGTTCTCAATCATACGATGCAGTTTCTCATTGTTATCCACCTGCGATTTCATGCTATAGAGGCAAAGGATTGAGATTTATGCAGTTTTATAGAAATATGCTCACCGTGGATATATCTCCTTGGCCTGTGAGCACAAAGTCACAAATTTCACCTCCTTTATTATCTTCTCGATGGACTTCAGTTCCGTCTTGAGCACCAACATACTTTGTGTTTCCCGCACATACCGCTTCAAATTAGTGGTTGGCAACATTTCCTCTTTGGTCTTGGCCTGCACGGGAACAATCGAACCCGCTGGTTTCTTCAGCGTCGACAACATTTGCAGTTTCATTTGTAAATTCTTGCGTGATTTATCCTCCAGCTGTCTGTACTCATCGTTTAGTTCTTTGAATTTTGCTATCGCTGGCATGCCTAAGAAAAGGATATGTTTTATAAAGTTGGCCTGATCCTCCATGTCTGCGCTGAGTGAACGTAAAATGGGCTCATAGAAAATCTCATCGTGGAGCAACACTTGTATCATTTTCTTATACGTATTATTAATCGTTTTGATTGCCTTCAGACGCACATTGGAGTTCTCGATCTTCTTAAGAAAGACCCGCGATTTCAGTTCTTCCTCAAGCACGAACTCATTTTGGTATTTAATGCGATTCTGCAGAACTGCACGTTGAAGCTGTAGATTATTTAGCAGAAATTAATTTAATTTAATTTAACTGTATATTATAAGCTACAAAGATGAAAAACATATCGTGAAAGGAAAAGAAAGCATTTTCTAGTGTACTGATGATCCATAAATCTTAAATAATTGTCAAAGTAGGTAAAAATATTGCTTCCAAAACAGTTTGAGTCGATTCCTAGTTTGACAATGCAATCCGGGGCTACCCTCACTTATTCCTAAATCCTACAGTTATTAGTAATTTATGCAGTCTTCTTTTCTTCAACTTAATTATAGACACGAAGCTGATGCAGTCCTATATTTATAGTAACTTTGATGGATGGAAACGCCCATAGTAAACTTACAAGCAAATCTTTGTAATGTTTCTTGAGCTGATCCAAACGAAACTCTAGACGATCGCGCTCCTTACGCAAAACAAATGTACGCTGATTGATGTTATCCACCACCATATGTATGGGCATCTTTTGATACAGCCTCTGCATGTCCTTGTGATTGATCAAGAAGTTGCGTATCTTATGCGTATTATCGCCGATAAGTATTTTCTGCAACTTGGCGCGACCATCGCGACACTGTAACTTGAGGCGTTTATTTTCACGGACATAACGCTGCCGATTCGTCTTCAATTCATGCCGCTTAAAGACCACACGTCGCGCTATTATTAAAAGCTACTTTAATAAAGAAACATAAATGTGCTATGTAGATACTTACTCAACAGATCGGTCATGCCCTTAAACTGCTCGGTCAGGGAGTTTGGCGTCCACCGATGATCAACCATCATATGCTGGTGCACAAAGGACATACCGAAGAGCCCGTGAAAGCGCACGGCACGGGGATGCACCGGCTTTGGGGCCATCACATCCTTCTCGCGGTTCTTATCTCGTCGCGGACGAACCGAAACTGCCCTCTCACGTATTGAGCACGGCATCTTGAAACTCACTTGTGTTTTAAACAAACTCTCTTAATATATGTGCTATTTTTATTTATATGTACATATATATTTACTATATATGTATATATGTATATTGTATCTCTTTCAGGAATGTCAATCTGGGGTTGTCATAAATGTAAAACTTGACAAAACAACCGAGACAAAAATATATCTACGCCTACGCCGAAACTATATATCCTTCACTGTATCTTACAACGCACACATACACGCATATGAACACGCATAGACGCGATTCTGATGTAAATGTATGATGTCGAAACTGTAAATAAAAATATGTTTCCACTTATGTATGTATGTATTGTATATTTTTTTATATTTTATTCACGTTGTATTATTTAATATTGAATATTTTTTTATTTTATTCACGTTGTATTATTAAATACTTATAAAGTTCTCATATCAACCTATACAAATACTAAATAATGTGAATTGCCTCTATGTTGAGCCTTCAGCGAAACATTCCCTATTAATTTAATCTTTTGACTCGACCAGCAAAGAAAACTCTTTGCTGGTCTTTTATTGCGAAAAGAAATGGATGATCAACAATAAATGATTGTGGTCGCCTTGATTTTATCACAGTCGAGATCACTGAAATAGAATCAAATTTCCATATTTTTCGAAAATATATAAATATAATTCTTACCAGTCCCTGTCACTGGTCTAGATCCGTCTTCATTTACTTTCATTACCGCTTTTTGAATCACTTCAGAAACATATAATCTTTCCCGAGAACTTGTCATGTCCCTAAAATCAGGATGTTGAAATATTTGTCGGATTCCCATCTCTTTTAAAGGTTGATTCAGAATCATATCAAATTCAAACGAAAATTTTGGCAAAGCTAACTCTATTTGCCTTTTTTTAAAACCTGATGTAACCGTAAATAAGTTAACTGTATGCAGAAGGTTCTCCACTTGCAGTAAGCCATGCTGTTTATTGGGTAATATTACCAGCATGGAAATATTGGAATTCATATAGGGAATCTCCACAGCATGAGCATCCAAATCATTTATCCGTCCATGAAGAATACTTATTAGGCCATGCATCATATCCACTTTAACAGGACCTTCTCCCAGTGCGAAGAATTTTTGTTTAACTGTTTCTTCAGGATCAAATGGTGTTTCCCATTTCCCATGAAAATAAATGGCACTAATTACCATTAATTTAAAGTCTTTGTCCAAATTATCAGCGTTAACAATTTTCTTTATAAGGGTTTTGGTTCGTTTTGATATCCATTGATTGATGATTGATGCAGCCTCCTTGTTCTGTTCAAAATTAATATTTGTGATTCCTGTTCGAAATGATTTCGTTATAAGATCCATGTACTTTGGCAACAACGGAAACTTCTCTGCCACAAATATGCGATTCGCTATTTTCAAAGTGGCGTCACCCCCGGGTGCCCAAATTTCGTGAAATTTGCGAAATTCTTCGACTGCTTCACTCTTTGAATATCCACTTAATTGTAGTACACGATGTAGTTCATCAGCGGCGTGATCTCTTACTCCGACATAGACCTGAGCTAAGGCTTCTCGAGCAGAAAATGGAGATACAATGACGTTATCTTTTCCAGAAAACTCTAGAGCTTTCTGCAGAAATCTACCGGCGAACTTGTCGGCGTGAAACCCTGATAAGAAACTCAGTAGAATTATTAACCGGACGTGAAGAAAAGTACAGTGGTTTGCCATTTCACAGCGACTGAAGGATTTTCTGGGTACACCGCCTTTTATAAGCAAAGAAGGCATACATAATAGTATTACAAGTGGTAATATACGTTCAAATTAAAGCGTTTAACGACATTAATTTAGTAATTTACAGTGCTTGGTATTTTTATTCACTTTCCTGAAAAGTTGTTGGTATACAAGTTGCAACTTTAAAAAGAATATTTAATTTTTAATCACTACTCAAGGTATGCATTTGAATTGTTTAAATAATTCAATCAATATAGTTTTTTAATGTAATCGAAACAATTAAAGAGATATTTCCCAGCTCAAATGGATTTTCTCCTTAAGTTTGGTAGTTAAAAAAAAAATATATTGTGAATACAACCTTAAAATAGTTTAATCCAATCTCGATATCTGTAATTTTGTATGATAAAAAATTTATTCTATTTTAGGATTTTTGCGATTTGATTAATTTGTATGCAATTATAAATAAACAGTTTTGTTAAATTGCATTAAAAACAAAGCCAATAAAGTTATGATTTATACAATTTGTTGCCGCTATAGATATAATTTTTATTAAAAAGAAACTGGCACTTAAGTCGTCGGTGTTTAAGCATCGTCAGCCCGATTTTGCAGTGCGCCTAATAGTAGAGCACCTTTTAATTTCTCAGTGGCTCTGGTTCCTGCTCCGGCAAAAATTTCAGCCAATGTTTGAACGAGGAGAGGTCGCTGCAACTGGGTCAGGAGATCTTTAGACGGAGTATCGGCGCGCAGACCAGACAGAAGACAAAGCACAACAAGCACCACTGTTATTTGACTTGCTTTGGCCATTTTGAAACTATTAATGGGCGATTTTACGTTCGGAAAGTCTTTTTATAAGCCCCAAATGGGAACTCCCAGTGCATAAATAGGTACTTAAATCATATTTAATGCAACTCGTCTTCAATTAGTCATCCTTTCGCATTCAGAATTCTGAAACGATTTTTTTTGTTAATTCCTAATCACGTTCAGTTTGTATAAAAAAAAAAATAAGCTCTGCTTATGCAACATAACGATTAAGAAAAAATAAGCAATTCGCTTAATATTTCATTTTCAGGAATTCCCCAGCAATTTAAATCATGAAATTAGATTTTCTTCTGCTTCAGTCAAATCAGGTTTTTCATCATTTTTTCCAAGCCAAACTTAATCAAATGGTCAGTGAGACAAATATTTTGATACAAATTAATTTTCTTCTGCAAAAAAAAAAAAGCATCTTTTAGAATTAGTTTTCAAAACTGAGTTGTAAAGTTATGAAATTTGTGAGCTAATTATTTGCATGTCTGATTTTTATTATTTATTTATTTATAATTATTTTCTTCATTTTCTTCAGCGTGGCCACTAAATGAACTTTTTGTGAAATTTAAAAAACATTATTTTGCGCTTCAGTGGAATCAGCTGTTCCATACAAATTTCAATTAAAAAATTAAATATAACAAATATAACAAAAAAAAAAAAAAAACAATTGACGGACAATTTGCCTTACTTCTATAATTATAAGAAAAATAAAAGTATTAGGTTTCGTGATTTCCCAAAACAATGCTTTTAAGACTTTGATATTTAAAATATTGAACTTAAAGTGTTGTGCGAGTCAATATTATTCCCAAATGTGTTACAAAGGAAACTTCAATTAGATTTTTTCCCATTTATTTTGCACTAACTTTTCATTGTGGTTTGTTTCGTTAATTGTTTTTCTTCTGTCCAACATAAATACATAAATATACATAAATAGCAATACATATTTATATACTTAATTAAACATGCATGTGAGGGTGTGTGTATTTTCATATAATATGTACTTGCATATTTATATACATATTTATTTATAGAAATGGCTTGCATTTACTTAATATTCTAGTTTTTAGTGTTTTTCATGACAAAAGTTTTTGGTTGTAACATTATTTTGAATGGAAAGCATTTTTTTGTTGTAGTTTAACAGAACTAATAGAAACACATTAACACTGTTTTTGAAAAGTAAACGGCTGAAATATTATATATGTATGTGTGTGTTTACATCTCATGCACACATATATTTACGAATGCATGCATAGATTCAATGATTTTGCATAGATTCCATTACACTTGGGCTCGTTCCGACTGGCTTGTGTCAAAACATTAATTCAACAAGTGGTCTCCTATTTTCCAAAATGTTAATTAAAGGGTGCTTGGCTTGCAAGTTTTAGATAGTTAGTTAATGTAGGTAGTTAGCTTAGTTAGCGTTCAATTAGTTCTAGGTAGGTAGTAATGTTTTAAATGTATAGTTTTAGCTCAAACACCAGCGTAGAAATATTGTCATAAAACATTTTTGTAACGTTTTCATTTTTTTTTTGTTTTTTTTCATTGTGTATATTTGCATTTTATTGTTTAAAATTTTGCTAAATGTACATTGATTCGCTTTGCCGCTTTAGGTTTAGCTGTAGCTAATGAAAATTCCATACATGATTGTTGCCTCTAGAGTTTATTAAATGTTTCTTATAGTGTTGCCTACTTTCTTGCGCACAGTTTCCCATCAAATTTGTTGCCTTCTTTTGCGTGCAATGAAAAATTTTTTTATGCCGTGATCTCAAACGTGCTACAGAAATTGTGGGATGTAGTGGGATGATTATATTCCAAAATCATATCATAATAATATAACAATAAGTCATAATAAGTCATAAGTTTTTAATTCTGTAATAATTCAAACTATATCTTTGAAAGTTTATTATGTAATTTATAGATAGAACATTTCATTCAAAGAAACTCCTAATATAAAGAATTTAATTAAATTATTTTTAATATATATTTCAAATCAATCAACAGCAGTGATAAATGCAAACACTTCAAAAGGGATTCTAGAGGGGTTTGCACCTCTTGACCATTTTTAAATAAATATTTAGCTGATATCGACGTATAATTTTAAGCACATTTGAAAGCGACTGACTTGATTAGAATATGCAATAATTGTAAAAAATCAAACATTTATAATAATTATTATCGATATCTAAACAATCTTCTAACTTTTCTACAACTCTGCAGTTAGTCAGAATAGTCGGATAATAGTAGTAGCATTGAAAAATAATAATAAAACAAATATTAAATTGTACATATATAAATTTATTTAACCATAAATCAGAGGGTTTTTTGTGATTTTCTGTTTTTTTATTGCCATGCATATATTTACACAATCCAAAAAGAAGTAATTCTTTTCTGCTTTCATTAATGCCAACAGCTATTAAATAAATGGCTAATACAAAGTACTAATATAATATTATTATACACAAATGTTTCACAAAATTGTAAGCATAGTTTGTAAATCGATTGATCAATTTTAAATAATACTTAAATATGTATTGTATATTAAATCCAATTTGGACAATTGATTGAAACTAGTCAGTTTTGCTTCTTCATCTTCTTTCTACCTTTTTGGAATGCTTCTAAAAAATTTGGAAGAAAAAAACAACAACAAAATCTACAAAAGAACGATAAAAACAATTATGTAAACTTGTATAAATGTCTAAATTAAACTCGGATGTTATGCAATACACACGCAAGCATAATCTTTTACAAGACGGATATAATTTTTGCAAACTTGATAAGCAATTGGCTATATACTCGTAGTGCTTATGGCCAAGTAAACTGAACATCAGGGACTGTGACTGTGTTTTTGTACAGTGTACAGACGGCTGTTTGTTTAGGCGTTGCCTCTTTAATGATTGGCGTGGGACACAACTACGGGATTTGCTTACAATTTATATTTCACATATAGGCTACTACTAATCGGTTTACTTTAGCTATTTGTGGGAGGAGCTGTATATAGTATTTGATTTTAGTTTTACTTTTTTCTCATGTTTTCCCTTTTCTTTTCCCAGCATATAGTACATATATCAATTGGGTTTCATAGTGTGTATACATATAAATAGTTAAACTCATTTGTTTTTGTTTACTTTTAATATAGTTATAATATAAATATATATGCATTAAGCATCATTTTTCGTGTATGCTCAATGTTCAACATTTTATAGAGTTTCATTCTGTTGCTCTAAACCTTTAAGCTTTCCATTTCTATAATTTTGTGTGGTGTGAAAACATCATTTGCTTGAATGCAATTTTTAATTTCTTGGTTGTGTTTTTCTTTAAATATATGCAAATATATATATGTATATATATTTATGTTCATAATATATGTATTATGTATATGTATGGTATGCTTGTTGTTTTGCTTTTTATGAGGTTATAGCGCTTAGTGTTTAGGTATGTGTGAGTTGTTGCTGTTGGTTGGTTGGTTGGTTGGTTGATTGGTTTGTTGTTGTTGCCTTATAACGCACCAAATGGATCGAGCGGCACGTTTTTATTGCGACCATTTTGCGTTGCCTGTGTGGGTTGCATAATGCTCGCCCCCGCCGCCGCTCCCGCCGCCGTCGTTGTCGCATTACTGTGCGCCGCCATCATCGTCGGTTGCACTCCAGTCAAAGGGGCTGCCTGTGCCAGCATAGTTGGCTGCCCCATCACCGGCATGCCCTACATATTTATGCAGCAATCATCATCATCGTCATCAATCATTGATCAATCAGCACATGTGCAAAAGAAAGCGAATGCAAATATTGAGTTAATATCGTAAATATTTCTGTGCTCCGTTCCATCCAAAATATCATGCAGGGGTACTTATAGACTGCTATGACAGACGCAACTCTACAAACTGCTGGTACATAGTACAGAATTATAGAGAGAGTTATATATACGTAGAAATAGTAGGCTATTTAGGAAGTGCGCCGTGAGTTTTGCGAGTTTAGCGCTAAATCATAAATGTGAAAACTGCTGCTACTTGGCACCAAAACTTTTTTGGGGTTAGTGGGAACTACAAACAACTTCGAATCCAACTTAAAAAGTTAACTTCTACATAAAACAAATAGAAATGAAAAGTAGAATGTTTCAAACTCAAAGTGCAAAATGAAATTAAAGATGTTCGCTTTCTGTACGGTAAGATATTTATTTTGTAAAGTAAGAAGAGCGTACATAGCACCGTAGGACCGGAAGTATAAATAGAGCTTGCATTTAGAGAGCACTTTGAACCACATATACTATATGAGTGTCTTGGGATCAACTTATAGAGATTATTGGGTGTTGGAATGCGCAGTTTTAAGATTCTTTTTTTTTTAGTAGCATAGACAGATAACAACAGATGATGAAATAAAATTATAAAAAATTAAATAGAAATTAAAGGTAATTAAAAGAAAAATGTAGAAACTATTGAAACAATTCAGCAACTAAGGAACACAACAACTCAAGGAAAACAAAAACAATTTATTATAGGTATAGTTGATTTTTGTTGTCTTATAAAGTTTGATAGATTGTTTTTGGTTTACTTTCTTCTTACCTGCATATAATTTGGCATTACAGGATAACTAGCATGTATATACGGATGATTGATTGTGATTGGCGCAGGACTTACTGTCATGCCATGTGCCTACACGCATTACATGTTGATACGAGTATATATAGTATAGGCATAATTATACATATGTGTATGTATACAACATATATATGCATATCGATATATCACAAAAACATACACAGTCGCAGCGTGAGTTGTCATACGTAATATTTGATTGTTCAATACATATATATGTATGTATATATATTTGGATATATTTTTTTTGTATACGAAAATGTACGTTAGTTTTTGGGTTTTTGGCATTTTCGTATGATATATAGATTTTGCAAATTGCGGTATGCGTTGGATAGTTCAAATATAAAGCAACATAAAATAAAGAAAAGAAAGTAAGTGGTCGTTAGATATTAATTAAAAAATAAGGTGTAACAAAAAAAGGTAAAAATAAACAAAATAGAATAGAAGGGGAAAAAATAAATGTTTTTCTTTTTGAAAATACTTTGTAGATTGTTTGCAAGTGTTTTTCTTAATTTTATTATTTTGCCTGCGGCCCTACGCTTCGAGTGTGCCACAAAGGATAGCCCTAGTGCTGTTGATGTTGTAATTGTAATTAATTCTTCGCTGTGGTTTTTGGTGTATTTGTGCGCTCGGTGAAGTGTTTGGGAAAGGCCGTAACCAACTCTTTTTTTGATTGTCTTGGGTGTATTTTTGTGTGTGAGTGGGTGTGTTGGTGAACAAAAATTGATTTGCATAAGTATGTGAAAGAATAGTTTGGTGTGGAAATAATACATACAACTTACAACGACTTGGTTTAGTTTGGAGAATCTACAATTTGTCAAAGGACTCTTGAGCCTCTAGAGGGGGGTTCTTAACACAGAACTACACACAACTTGTGGTTGGGGAGGGGGAGTATTTATAATCCAGTACGCAAAGATCGCAGAGCACTGCCGGGCTTAATACAATTCGAAAACAAAACATTATATGTATATATGCATTTATATAGATAAATGTAACAAAAATACAAAATCATAGTTATAAATAGAAGGGCGACAACATTTAGATTTAAAATCGAGTTCATTCAAAATAGGAGGCGTGACATGTTTTCAAATGCAAGACGAAGACGACAAGACATAAACCAAGTGGCTGAAGTTGTTTTATGCAATTTCGAAAATGCATTGTGCATTTAAAGGAACTAAATAGGAATTATGAAATAAATTTAACAAAATTAAATTCGTTTTAATTTGTACATGAAATAGTGATCCTAGATATTTAACGTGGTGTTTTTTATTTGTTGTTTGTTTCGTTGTGGGAGGGTGACACAAAACTTCAAGAGAGAAAATAATATCGAATGCATTGTAGATTTTTTTTGTTTTTGTTTAATTCGAGAATCTCTTGAAATGATCTTTTATTGAATCATTGGCTGATGCTATTTGGCACAATATCTTGGCAATTTGTCGAACTGTTTGATGAGAATTACGTTTCTTTTTCATATCGTTGAACAATTTTGAAGCAAAGTGGATATTGTAGTCGATAGTATTGTTTTGTTTGGTTTAGTTTTCTTTGTTTCTTGTAGAGTTCAGTACAGTAGAGGTAGAGGTAGAGAGAGTAGTAGAAGGCAAAACTCACCATTGGACGATAGCCAGCACCAGTTGTAGCCGCCATTGGTTGTGGTGTCCAATTAGCACCTGGTTTCGCTGTATTTTTAGGTGAATTCCATTGCACGGGTCTATGAGAATAATGGGGTAAGAGAGTAATGATATATAGACGAAATCAATGATCACGGCATTGTTTGTTTGTTGGTTGGTTGATGGGTGGGTTGATTGGTTGGTTGGTAGTAGTAGGTTGATTGAATTAGGCCTTTTCGGGTTTTGTTTTATTAGTAAAGGATCAATTTCGAACTAAGTGCTATGTACATGAATGTAAATGGGATGAGCAATTATATTGAAACTTCTTTTTGGGCGAGAGAGTATGGAGTTCATTGGTTTGGATTGGAATGACGAATAGATATACCTCTAAAGTTATAACGAGTTGGTTTGTTGATTGATTTTTTCTTTCTGTTTGTATTGGTAAAGGATAAAGTCGTGATATGGAAGTATTTGCAATTTACTTGTAAGTAAATGAGATGAACAACTGCATAAACTTCTCCTTTGGAGAGAGTAAGAGAGTTAAGAAAGAATAGGAATTCAGTTGGTTTGGATTGGAAGGGCATGGGATCTCAGTAAAGAGAGCAAATAGATATGCCTTTGAAGCTAAAACGATCTGCTGTACAACTGCCTAACATTTCTTCAATTCAAGATGATTATGATGATAATATATGTATACATGTAACTATAACACACACACACAGACATACAACGAATTAGACTTTCATTTTTCATATGTTGAATTACAGTTCTGTTTTATTTTTTCGTTTTACTCACTTTGCACTTGCCGTTTTATTTATATTTAAATTATCAACTAGTGACATTAGTGAACTATCCAAATCGCCGGTTATTATCTTTCCAGTGCTCGCTGGCTGTTGTTGTTGCTGCTGCTGTTGCTGTGAAAGTTGCTGTTGTTGCAAGAGTTGTTGCTGCTGTTGCTGTTGCAATGTCAACGCAGAACTGTTGTTGCTATTGTTGTAGCCGACAAACGCTGCACCTGTAGTGACAACATTCATTTGATTGCCGTTTGCTGTCGCCGGCTTGAGAACATCTCCCAAAGCATCGAAGCCTTTTAGCATTTAGTAATTTATTTTTTTGTGCGATTGTTGGTGGTGTTGTTGATGATATTATTCATGTTGTTGTTGTGGTTGACGTCGATTAGTGATTTTCAATACCAAGTGCCCCGTTTAGCAGACATTTACACACAGAGACATACACAGTATATATAGATATTGTTTTTAAATATATCATTAGATATATTTGTGTGTGTGAAGCAATGCGGTTATTGTATTTGGTGTTGAGTTTTGCCCATTTGTCGATTTTTTGTTCGGAAAGTTGTTTCAGTTTTGCCAGCATATCAATATTTAATAATAACACACATATATATGTTTAGAATTTAATGGAACAATTATTTGTTTTGTTTTTTTTTTTTAACATGGATTTGTGCCACCAACATTAACGTTTAATAGTTTGAGACGTGATACAATGTGAGTTTTCATGTAAAGTTGTATATTTTTTATGTGAAGTATATAAGAACATAAAAAAGAGAAAAAGAGAAAAAATACATTTACAAAATAAATAACATGAATAGTATAAGCTATTCGTTTTTGGTTTTTTCTTTTTCTACTAATATGTAGGGAATGGATAAATATGTTTAGATTTGTGATAGTTTTGAATTGTATAAAAGACATTTATATATAAATGAACTTATTTATATAATATATGATGTTTATTATGTGAAGTGTTAACACAAATGAAGTAAAATATATATTAGCACAAAAATACCACATAGTGTTTAAAATATGTACAAAGGCAGTCGAATGAATTGTTCATATGTAAATTCTGAAGCAATCTTTTCAAAGCAAACCTAACTAGAGATTCACTTTAAACGGCTGATGCAGTCACGCAATTCGATAAAAAAAAATTAACCATAAAGGAATATCAAAGGAATATTACAGTTTATATAAAATCAGGAAAGCAACAAAACAAAGTAAATGCATGAATATAATACAAAACTACAGTATACGGCCGATATAGGGAATAAAAAAAGAAAGGACTTGAAAATAAATAGATATATTCCTATACCCAGAGAGCAACTGAATATTATATATTTAAAATATAGCAATTACGAGTCGGGCTGAATCTCAAAGGTGAAAAGTCCATAACCGTAAAATGAGGAACTCATTCGAACAGTAATGCTCTTAAAAGAATCAACAGGTTCTGGTGTCTGTATAATATAAAAGATTATACTGAATTACTACTATACTATTGTTATTGCTGCTTTTTATACCTATGGAATCGAGAATGTATATTTAACATTATAAACATTGCCATGCGTGTTAAGAATCGCTATGATTCTAAGCGCTGTACCCAGTTTACTTCTGTTTATTCGTATGTTAGAGTCTATGTAATTCATACTACGAATGTTAAATAAACATGGGGTCGCTGTTAAGAGTGGCTGTTAACAGTAGATGTTAGGAGTGTCTGTTAAGAGTCGCTGTTTGTAAGCACTGTTAACGGTCCAATTGATTGGGTTCGCTGTTAAGGAGCAGTGTACCGTTATTGGTATTTCGATAACAGAGCCCAATTCTATTATGAAATAATTAAATGTATTTTCTTTTCATTGCTGATATGGTAATCAACCGGTTTCTTTTTAGAAATTAACGAATAGTTGTAAGTCTCCGTGATTCAATAAATGCTAAGTTGTAATTATGTATATTGAAATTTGTCCACACTGAACAGCACTTTTAGCTATATCGTGCGTATACTGTATTATTGACGATGAGTCGAAAAGCAAACTGGCACACAGACATAAGGAAGCTTTTGGATACAATACAACTGATGGCTTTTTAATGACAGGAATTTACAAGACAAATACAAATTCAAATTCGTACATCGTATGAAAGTTAGGCACATAGCGGTGTTATCTTGCATTTGTCATTGTTGCTGTTGTTGCTGTGGCATGGGGTGGCAAAAAGCACTCACTACATGGAAGCACGCAAGTGGCAAGTGAGAGAAAGGGAGAGAGATAGAAAGAGACACAGCAAGGACTGCATACAGATTTGCATGTATTACAAAAAACAAATGAGATTGGGAGGGAAGATAAGCGCGCGCATCTATTTTTTTTGGATGTGAATGTTTTTTGTGTGTTGACAAAAACAACAAATTTGTGTTTGTTTTTGTGGCTATTGTTGTTGCAGTTGCATGCAACATCAAAATGTTCACCTGCTGGAAATTGTGCCATTGTCGTTGCCATGGAAGTTGGCTGTAATATCGTTGAAGTTGCTTGTTGTTGTTGCTGCTGCTGCACGTAGAATAACTGCTGTTGTTGTTGTTGCTGCTGCGTCTGCTCCATAAGATTTGCAGCAACAAAAGGTACAACCGCTTGCGTCTCCATGGCATCAAAAAAGGGATTTGGCAACGGCACGGACATCGCTGATTTCATTTCAGCACAAATATTATTTTGTATAGGACAGGTTTTGATTTTGTCATGGGCATAAGAAAATAAATAAAATAAAATTATTTATAAATTCAAAATGAAGTCTGCAATAAGTGTGGGTGACGGGGGCAACCAAAAATTTGCGACAAAAATCAATTGACACAATATTAAACAAACAAATAAACTATTCTATTTTCACTTGCACTCGGAGTTTCCTAATTTCAACTGAAAACTTTTAAACTAGCCTTTTCATATTGGGTTGAACATTGTCAGTAATATGTACCTTCGCCGTGTTAGTAACAAGTGTTTAAATTAACATGCTAAGCATATTTAAGTTATAGAACAAATGTAATTGTAATGCCACCAAATAAATTGGAAAAATTGCAACACATATTATAGAAAGTTAAACACAATTATAGCTTCCATTGATTAGTTAGGAAATCGACATTTCAATAATAATTATACACAATGTAAAAGTTAAATTATGCTGGTTAAGTTTTAAGCGTATTATTTTTAAGCTCATATTGTTAGTGAACAAAATTATGGAATTCTTTTTTAGATTCTGATTTGAAATATATCTCTTTGTAGATATTAATGTTGGTAATGAAGTTAATGACAAGAGAGAACGCAGGAACTTACCTGTGGGCTCCGTATTACCAAAAACGGATGTGAAATTACTATCGGAAACGAATGCGTTTGTTGCAGCAGCGGAAGTTACTGAGGCGCCATTGAAACCTATGGGTGTGTGTGTGTTTTTATGTTGGTGTGGGCGTGGACGTGGGCGTAGGCATTGACGAGGTCGTGGACATGGTGGGTGTTTAATTGCGATTTATTTTATATTGGGACGGGTTTTTTGTTTTTGTTTTTATAGTAGCAGTTGTTGTAGTTGTTGTTGTAGCAGTTGTTGTTGTTGTAGGGAAAACAGTGATGAAAATGAAGAGTAACAATACATTAGACAAGAAATGATTAGAAAACGAACTAAAGACATACGAAATCATATAATAATTAATTTAAATATATATCAAATAAATATAAACATATAGAAATTTATATATATAATTACAGACAATGCGAAATGGTGCATGAAAGATTGTGCATATAGAGAGCTAGAGAGCGGTTTGTAAGAGCGTGGCGGGTGAAAGAGTTGCGTCCGCATTGAGCGACTTGAGCTCCCTGGGTCTGAGATAAATACAGGACAACATCGCTTACATGGCAAACTAAACACACACATCTATATATATATATATAGTATATACTACACACGAACATACATACATAATAGCTGTAATTAACTTAGGCCTAAAATCATAATTGAAAGAATTAAAATAATAATCAAATCATAACATGCTACCATTATTATGCATCCACAAATTATTGGCATTGAGTGCAGCACCTGTTGCTCCGCCGGCGGCACCACCGCCACCGCTGGCCTCGAACATGTCGGCAAACGGATTGCCCAACTGCAGCAAATCATCGGAAGCTTTTGTCGCCTGTGCTGCCGGAGCACCTGCAGCAGCAGCGGGCTGTGCCGACGCGGCACCAAACAGATCAACTATCGGTTGGCCAGCCTGTGCGGCTGGTGGTGACGATAGGAATGGATTTGTTAGTGCAGCGCTAGCGCCAGCAGCTCCGCTACTAGTGGGCGACGATACCTTGGACTATGAAGGAAATAAAAAAACAATACATTAATACAGTGCATATAGTTTAAATCAGGATTTAACTTCTAAGTTGTGCTCATCAAATTCAATTTACTTAAAGAATACTAATCCTTATGACACTCCACTAAACACGGGACTAGCAATTTTGCTTTTATTATATGTAGGAAAATGTAGAGTTTATTAATCTCACACCAATTACGCAAATCTGCGTCTAGATTGGATGACTATCATTAAAACTTTTCAAACTGTAGACTAGAGCTTAGGACTTCTGCAGGAGCCTAAAGAGAATTAGGATTGTTCGGATCCCCAAACCACCAATATATAACTTCACTTAAAAACTTAATGTAAAATTGGCCTAAGGAAATATACAACCTCGTATATAAAGTTGTATATTTCTAAATGAGAGGCAGTTAATGCAATTTAAAAATAAGAAGAGCAGATAGCTTTAATTGAGCATTACAAACTGTGGTATTCAGTTTAGACTGGAATATTTATTTTGTCCTCGAGTGTATTTGGCGATAAAGAAGGTAAGAAAAGAAGAAGAAGAAAACAAAACTCCGTTTTCGCTCTCCTAATAAACTCTTCTGATCTCTTCGGTCACCTTGGATAAGAGAGAGAGAGAGAGCTTTTAGCCAATGCAGCTTATCACTCTCAAGGTCTGCATACGTGCAATAATAAGGTCAAGCTGAGCATTAGATTCATTGCTTGAGATCAGCTGAATGTGGACGGTCATACTTCTTGCCAAATCTCTATTAAAAATTTTGTAAAGTGCCCACGTGCAACATTTAGTAATTATTATTGCCAAAAGTGCATAAAATTGTATAAAGAGATTTCGAGATTGCTTGGATTTCGGCGGATTAATATTCCACCCCTTTTCTTCGCTGGAAAGATTGTTTAATTTATTAAAGGAAGCAGAGTTGTATTTACACCAGGTAAATCAATATGGTTAGCTTCGTTCTGTTTTTAAAGTAATTTTTTTTGTTTAGAGATCGAGTTTCATAACCCCGAGCGGCAGGTATGGTGCTCAGGGCCAACCTGCTGCGGCTATAATTCCGTGCTGAAACAACGCAACAACTTTAATAATTTTGACTACACCGCACCCCAGATCCAGCAGCTACACGACTTTACTTTCTCGGCAACACCAGAAGTGCCTGTGACTAAGCCAGCAAATTTGCAAGGAATAGTACAGATAGGAAACGGTCTTTTGAATAACGAGCCTATGTTCATTTAAATTTTATTAACTTTGGCCATTTTATTCGGTTTTCTATGACACTTAATGTCATTGCAAAATACAAACGGTCGTCTTACAACAACGGTTGCATATTCAATAATAGTTAAATAGCTCAAACTAGCACATTTATTTGATTAAATATTTCCATTAAAACTTACAAAATCTATGATAATTGATTAGTTTAAAATGTATACTTAATTTTCTTCTTTTCTTTTTTCTTTAAAAACAACAAAAACATGTACAATCCATCTACTTGATTGCATATGCAAGGCCACATAAATCCAATTAGTTAACAATGATATTCATGCATTAGGAATATATATATATATAAATTTAATGAATTTCTAATGCAAATTAATAAGTTGTAAATGCAAAAGTCTGTGGTAATGTTAGCTGCGTCTTCGATTGAGCTCAACGATCACCAAGCTGAGTAAGTATGTACAAACACAGACAAATTAAAAGCTACAATTAACCTGAATCATTAAATTTACCAGATATATTTTACAATGCATATACCATATTATATTTAAATGTACTCATAGGATATGTGTATTTTTTTTTTTGCATATACAATCAGGCTAGGGTCTTAATGAACATAAATTCTGATTAGACATGAGATTAACTATGAAATTGTTTTGGAATAAATGAATAATATTTTTAATTTTGAAATCATGAATTGCTAACCGTATTTCTTTTTCGGTCCGTCGCCTAAAATTTAAATCATGTTTCTTCCCAATAATTAACTATTCATATAAAGTTCTTATGGGGCAATACCTAAACAACTTATATTGCCATGGTCGGGTGGGTACAGACGAGGATGCTAACAACATCTATGCTCCTCACTAGATATTGCCAAATCCAATCCAATTCAGTAGGGTTTCAAGAACGATTATTCTTCAACTTTGGATTTTTATTTTATTGTCAATTGAACTGTTGGTTTTTTTTTATTAATGTGCACTTAAACTATTGTGGTAGTGTAGTATGGCAGAAGGAGGTAAGAACCCCACCCCATATCCGGCGAGCTAAGTTAGAGCGTAGCAAGAAGTGCACTCCTTCCGAATTCTGCCCATGCAACAAAAATGGATAAATACAAACACCATATCTACCCACACACTACATAATATGGCGCCCAACGTCGTGGGGCATGAACTAGGTTAATCCGAGTATACTCTGCGAATAGCAGATTTGGGAGAAAACTTAGTTAGCATCACGGCAATCAGCTCTAAGGTTATCCATCCATTTCTGGTTTGTATTAAAATTTTGAATTCAAATTAAACTTCACGTTTTGTTAACTGAAGCTATTAGTATAGGACATCGTCTCATGGAATTGCGACTGCAATTCGGGATTACTTGCGGATTGGTCGACCGGAGCGAACCTATTCTATAATTGGCACATGTTCAGAATATGACAGTTTACGTAGGACTTTGTTTTGTATTTATATGTCTGTGTTCGGAATCGCAAGACACTGGAAAGATTTCGGTGACTTGACCAATATAGATAAAGTATATACATTGCAACTCGGCAATAGCATTAGAATTTATAGATAGGAAAAAATATCTTGGGTTTAGGATTTGGCAATATAATATTTGGGTTGAAACTTTGATTTAATTGAGGGTGGCGGACCAATAATTTTTGATTTGATTTGATTTTAAGAAAAATTTGTTGTGAAAAATGGCTGTTAGGCATAGCACAGAGGATTTAGTTGAAGTTTTGCGCGAACGAAACGCATTTTGTGGAATCTGTAATGAAACATTGAATGTAAGTGAGCTAATCGCAACAGCTCCATGCAACCATAAATTTCATTATAGCTGCTTAATGCCACTGATTCAGACAACTCCGGTTTGTCCTATGTGTAGCCAGAGCTGCACTGTAAATAAACTAATGCTTTCAAATAATAATTTAGAGGTAGAATTGAATGAGGCTGAAAGTGTTAGAGGGGATTCTCAATCCGGTGGACTCTCCACTACTTTGCCAGAATTTACCGCTACAAGTCGATCCAACAGAGGTCGTGGCGCTACTCCTAAAGCGGGTATGCAAACCAGGTCAATGCGAAGAAATGCACCTGATCAGCGTGCGCAGAATGATGAAAGGTCAATTGATATCGCGACTCAAGAAGTTGTTGACAGGTCGGAAATGGTCAATATTGTCAAGAGTTGTTTGCAAACACAACAAAATAGCTTATTGCAAACTCTAACTTCTGCTATAAATGAAGCAGTAGAACAAGCAATTCAAAATAAAATGGCAGTTTTGAATATTAGCCGTACTGACCAAAATCGGTCTCAAACTAGAACTATAGATCCACCAAGAAATCCTGTAAGGCAAAATGACTTGAATTCGGCTTTGCCTTCTGAAAGCCATAATAGTAGTCAACAGGCTAGCGAATTTACACATGAATTTAGGGCGTGTAGTAACATTCCACCAGAAAAAGTGTCGAGTATTATACAAAGCTGGCGTCTCAAGTTTGACGGTGCTAGAGATGGCATGCATGTAGATGACTTTTTGTATAGAGTTCGTTCTTTGACAGTACAAAATCTGGGCGGAAATTACCAACTCCTTTGTGATCATTTGTATTTACTTTTTGCTGGAAAAGCAAATGAGTGGTTCTGGAAATTTCATCGCTCTTTTCCTAGATTTAATTGGCTGTTATTTTGTGACGAATTTAGAAAGAAATTTGAAGACATTGATTCTGATATGGATATTTGGGAAAGAATTAATTCACGACGGCAATCTGATAATGAACCCTTTGAGGAGTTTCAGTTCGCTGTAGAGAATCTAGTAGGTCGTCTTAGGAATTCTATATCGGAACAAGCTTTTGTTAGAATTTTAATTCGTAATTCAAAAACCTCTCTTAGATATGAAATTATGCATTTAGGAATTACAACGTTGTCTCGACTCCGCGAAGAAATTCGTACACACGAGCAGTTCTTTAAACAAGTAAAGAGTCAGCCGTTGAAATCTAAATTCGGAAATCGTCCTCAAGTTTGTGAATTACTAACAGAATCAGACGAACTATCGGAAAATGACATTTCGGAAATTCAGCGCAATCGTAGAGCTTGCTGGAACTGTGGTAAAGTAGGCCATCGATTTGATGACTGTCTGGAAGCCCGGACTCTCTTCTGCTACGGTTGTGGGATGAAAAATATCTATAAGCCAAAATGCCCCAAATGCAATCCGACGGAAAACCGGCAACAGGATGCACAGAATTCCATCTCTCTGATGCATCCAATCGAACAAAGCCATTAATGATAGATGCGTATACTCAAACTGAAGATTTGATGTCTTCAGCTCCGAGTTATTCAGTCCAGGATGGGCAGGACTTTCGTACAAAAATTACCGGACTTAATCCTTATCTCCCATTTCATATTCGCCTAGCAAATTATGAGTCTGCTCGTGAGCGTATATTAGGAGATGTTAATAATATTGATTTAAATGTCAAACCCAGAAGATCAACTTTAAGATTAAGGTCATTTTGGAAAAATGTGTGTTCAGTGCGTAAGAAATTTGTTTCGTCCATTTTTTTTAGCCATGATCATAGATTGTACACAGAAATTATTATTCAGAATAGAAAGTATGTAGCTCTACTCGATTCTGGCGCCTCTATTAGTTGCCTTGGTGCAAACGCAGCCGCAGAAATGATGAATAATGGTAATCTTCAAAACTGTTCTGGAAAAATTCGAACGGCTAATAGTTCCGAATGTGCTGTAAAGGGAAGAATTTTAGCGAATATAACATATCGCCACATGGAAAAACCTATAAAATTCTTTGTAA